GGACACTGCAGGGGTGGTGGGGACAGTGGGGACACCTGGGGACAATGGGAACACCCTGGGGACAATGGGGACACTGCAGGGGTGGTGGGGACACCCTGGGGACAATGGGGACACTGCTGGGGACAGTGGGGGACACTGCAGGGTGGACACTGTGGGACAATGGGGCCACCCTGGGGACGGGCCCCATGGGGCACTGGGGACACCGTAGGGCATGCTGCATGGGGTCACAGTGGGGACACCCTGGGTGACCCCATGGGGACACCCCAGGTGTGCCCCATTGACCCCCAGTGCCCTGGTCCCCTCAGGTGTCCCTAGTGCGTGTCCCCTCAGCCGACCCCCGGGGCTGCTGTCCCTGGTGTCCCCCAGGTGTCCCCCAGGTGTCCCTGTGTCTCCCAGGTGCTCCGTGTCCCCATGGGTGCCCCCAGTGTCCCTGTGACCCTAGGTGTCCCCAGGTGTCCCCGATGCTGCTGTCCCGTGCTCCCTCCTGCTGACCCCTGTCCCCCAGGTGTCCCCATGTCCTGTGTCCCCATGTGCCCCCTTGTGCCCCAGGTGTCCCCATGTCCACTGTGTCCCTCCAGGTGTCCCGTGTCCCTCCAGGTGTCCCCAGGTGACCCCGTGTCCCTGTGACCCCAGGTGTCCCCATGTCCCTCCGATGCTGCTGTCCTCTGTTCCCTCCTGCTGGCCCCTGTCCCCCCAGGTGTCCCCCCAGGTGTCCCCAGGTGTCCCCCAGGTGTCCCCGATGCTGCTGTCGCTCTGTTCCTCCTGCTGGCCCCCGTGACCCCCGTGTCCCTGTGACCCCAGGTGTCCTGTGTCCCCCAGGTGACCCTGTGTCCCCCAGTGTGTCCCTGTGTCCCCATGCCCCTGTCCCCCAGGTGTCCCCAGGTGTCCCCGATGCTGCTGTCAGCTGTGCTCCTCCTGCTGTCCCCTGTCCCCCAGGTGATCCCATGTGTCCTAGGTGTCCCCCAGGTGTCCCCAGGTGTCCCCTGTGTCCCCCAGGTGTCCCCCTGATGCTGCTGTCGCTGTGCTCCTCCTGCTGGCCCCTGTCCCCGCTGTCCCCTAGGTGATCCCATGTCCCCTGTCCCCCCATGTCTGTCCCCCAGGTGATCCTGTGTCCCCAGGTGTCCCCAGGTGTCCTCCCGATGCTGCTGTCACTGTGCTCCCTCCTGCTGACCCCCTGTCCCCCCAGGTGTCCCCAGGTGTCCCTGTGTCCCCTAGGTGTCCCCCAGGTGTCCCCCATGTCCCTATGTCCCCCAGGTGTCCCCCATGCTGCTGTCCCCCTGTCCCTCCTGTGACCCCTGTCCCCCAGATGTCCCCAGGTGTCCCCAGGTGTCCCTGTGTCCCCAGGTGTCCCCATGTGTCCCATGTCCCCCAGGTGTCCCCAGGTGTCCCCGATGCTGCTGTCCCTCTGCTCCCTCCTGCTGATCCCCATGTCCCCCCAGGTGATCCCCTGTCCCCCAGGTGTCCCCGTGTCCCTGTGCCCCCAGGTGTCCCCGTGTCCCTGTGACCCTCAGGTGTCCCTGTCCCCCCAGGTGACCCCATGTCCCCATGTCCACCCAGGTGTCCCCCCAGGTGTCCCCCCAGGTGACCCCATGTCCCCATGTCCACCCAGGTGTCCCCCCAGGTGTCCCCCCAGGTGTCCCCGATGCTGCTGTCCTCTGCTCCCTCCTGCTGACCCCCTTGTCCCCGTGTCCCCAGGTGTCCCCAGGTGTCCTGTGTCCCCCAGGTGCTCCTCAGTGCTCTCCTCTGACCCTGTCCCCCAGGTGTCCCCATGTCCCCAGATGTCCCCGATGCTGCTGTCACTCTGTTCCCTCCTGCTGTCCCCGTGTCCCCCCAGGTGACCCCGTGTCCCTGTGTCCCCCAGGTGTCCCTGTGTCCCCCCAGGTGACCCTGTGTCCCGATGCTGCTGTCCCTGTGTCCCCATATGCCCCCCTGTCCCCCCAGGTGTCCCCAGGTGTCCCCGATGCTGCTGTCCCTGTGCCCCCGTGTCCCCTGCCTGTGTCCCTGTGTCCCCCAGGTGTCCCCAGTGTCCCTGTGTCCCCCAGGTGACTCCCGCTGTGTCCCCCAGGTGTCCGTCCTGTGTCCCCCAGGTGTCCCTGTGCCCCAGGTGTCCCTGTCCCCAGGTGTCCCCCGATGCTGCTGTCGCTGGTGCCCTCCTGCTGGCCCTGTCCCCCCAGGTGTCCCCCAGGTGCCCATGTCCCTGTGTCCCCCTAGGCTGTCCCCAGGTGTCCCCTGATGCTGCTGTCCCTCTGCTCCCTCCTGCTGGTCCCCTGTCCCCCCCAGGTGTCCCCTGTGTCCCCCAGGTGTCCCTGCATGTGTCCCTGTGTCCCCCATCCTGCTGTCCCTGTCCCCCAGGTGATCCCTGTCCCCAGGTGATCCCCATGTCCCCCAGGTGTCCCCCATGTCTCCCGTGTCCCCCTGTGTGTCCCCTGTCCCCCCAGGTGTCCCCCCGTGTCCCCGTGTCCCCCAGGTGTCCCCATGTCCCCCCAGGTGTCCCCATGTCCCTCTGTGTCCCTCCCACGTGCTGGCCCCATGTCCCCTGTCGTGTCCCCCAGGTGTCCCTGTGTCCCCATGTCCCCAGGTGTCCCCCCCGATGCTGCTGTCGCTGTGCTCCCTCCTGCTGGCCCCTGTCCCCCCAGGTGTCCCCATGTCCCCATGTCCCTGTGTCCCCCAGGTGTCCCCAGTCCGTGTCCCCCAGGTGTCCCCATGTCCCCTATGCCCCCTGCTGTCCTCGTCCCCCGCTGGCCCCTGTCCCCAGGTGTCCCGCTGTCCCCCAGGTGTCCCCCGTGTCCTACGTGACCTCAGGTGTCTCATGTCCCAGGTGTCCCCCCGATGTCTGCCCTCTGTCCTCCTGCTGGCCCCTGTCCCCCAGGTGTCTCCCATGTCCCTGTGTCCCCCAGGTGTCCTCCCAGGTGATGCTGTGTCCCTCTGCTCCTCCTGCTGGCCCATGTCCGTGTCCCCCAGGTGTCCCCGTGTCCCCCTGATGCTGCTGTCGCTCTGCTCCCTCCTGCTGGCCCCCTGTCCCCCAGGTGATCCCTGTCCAGGTGTCCCCTGTGTCCCCCAGGTGTCATGCTGCTGTCCTCTGCTCCCTCCTGCTGACCCCCTGTCCCCCAGGTGTCCCCAGGTGTCCCCATGTCCCCAGGTGTCCCCGATGCTGCTGTCCCTCTGCTCCCTCCTGCTGGCCCCCTGTCCCCCCAGGTGATCCCCTGTCCCCCCAGATGTCCCCGTGTCCCTGTGACCCCCAGGTGTCCCCTTGTCCCCCCAGGTGTCCCCCGAGGTGATGCTGCTGTCCCTCTGCTCCCTCCTGCTGGCCCCCTGTCCCCCCAGGTGACCCCGTGTCCCTGTGACCCCCAGGTGTCCCCGTGACCCCCAGGTGACCCCCTGTCCCTGTGTCCCCCCCAGGTGTCCCCCCCGATGCTGCTGTCCCTCTGCTCCCTCCTGCTGACTCCCTGTCCCCCCAGGTGTCCCCCCAGGTGACCCCTGTCCCCTGTCCCCAGGTGTCCCCCAGGTGTCCCCAGGTGTCCCCCAGGTGATGCTGCTGTCCCTCTGCTCCCTCCTGCTGGCCCCGTCCCCCCAGGTGTCCCCATGTCCCTGTGACCCCCCAGGTGACCCCCTGTCCCCCTAGGTGACCCCATGTCCCCATGTCCCCCCAGGTGTCCTCCAGGTGTCCCCCCAGGTGTCCCTGATGCTGCTGTCGCTGTGCTCCCTCCTGCTGGCCCCTGTCCCGTGTCCCCAGGTGATCCCATGTCCCCATGTCCCTGCTTGACCCCCAGGTGTCCCCTGTCCCCCCAGGTGCTGCTGGCGCTCTGCTCCCTCCTGCTGGTCCCCTAGGTGTCCCCATGTCCCCTGTCCCCCAGGTGCCCCCAGGTGTCCCCCAGGTGTCCATGTCCCCCCAGGTGATGCTGCTGTCGCTGTGCTCCCTCCTGCTGGTCCCCTGTCCCCCCAGATGTCCCCATGTCCCCGTGTCCCCAGGTGACCCCTAGGTGTCCCTCTGTCTCCCCAGGTGACCCCCAGGTGACCTCCAGGTGTCCCCATGTCCCCGTGTCCCCCAGGTGATGCTGCTGTCGCCTGTGTCTCCCTCCTGCTGGCCCCTGGTCCCCCAGGTGACCCATGTCTCGTCCCCCAGGTGACCCCATGTCCCGTGTCCCCAGGTGTCCCTGTCCCCCAGGTGTCCCCCGTGTCCCCCCAGGTGATGCTGCTGTCGCTCTGCTCCCTCCTGCTGGTCCCCTGTCCCCCCAGGTGTCCCCATGTCCCAGTGTCCCCCAGGTGCCCCATGTCCCTGTCAGGTTGCTTCGCTCGTCCTCCTGCTGGCCCCCTGTCCCCCCAGGTGACCCCATGTCCCCATGTGTGTCCCCAGGTGCCCCAGGTGTCCCCAGGTGATGCTGCTGTCCTGTGCTCCCTCCTGCTGGCCCCTGTCCCCTGTCCCCAGGTGTCCCCATGTCCCCAGGTGTCCCCGTGTCCCCCAGGTGATGCCATGTCCCTGTGTCCCCCAGGTGTCCCCTGTGTGCTGCTGTCCCTCTGCTCCCCTGCTGGCCCCTGTCCCCCAGGTGACCCCGTGTCCCCAGGTGTCCCCAGGTGTCCCTACGCCCACATGTCCATGTCCCCCAGGTGTCCCCAGGTGACTGCTGTCCTCTGCTCCCTCCTGCTGGCCCCCGTCCCCCAGGTGTCCCCATGTCCTGTGACCCCCAGGTGTCCTGTCCCCCAGGTGATGCTGCTGTCGCTGTGCTCCTCCTGCTGGCCCCTGTCCCCCAGGTGACCCCATGTCCCATGTCCCCAGGTGATGCTGCTGTCGCTCTGCTCCTCCTGCTGGCCCTGTCCCCCAGGTGACCCCAGGTGTCCCGTGTCCCAGGTGATGCTGCTGTCGGCTCTGCTCCTCCTGCTGACCCCCTGTCCCCCAGGTGACCCAGGTGCCCGTGTCCCCCCAGGTGATGCTGCTGTCGCTGTGCTCCTCCTGCTGACCCCTGTCCCAGGTGTCCCCCAGGTGTCCCCATGCTGTCCCGGTGATGCTGTCCTGTGCTCCTCCTGCTGGCCCCCACGCGGCTGCTGCTGGCCTGCGTGCCCTGGTGGCGCGGGTGGCCTCTGGCGGTGGCCGCGGGGGTGGCGGGAGTGGCCTACGGGCTGTGGGGGTGGGGGTCCTGCTGCGCCGCGGCCCCGGGCCACCTTCGGGTGGCGCCGCGAGGACCACCCCCGGGCTGGCCGATGGCACCTTCGGAGAGCACCGATACCTGCGCCTCAAGGTGCTCCGGGGAGGCTGGGGGGGCTTGGGGGATCTGGAGGGGCTTCTGGGGGCTTGGGGGATCTGAAGGGGCTTCTGGGGGATCTGGGGAGTCCTGGGGAGATCTGGGGGTTTTGGAGGGTCCGGGAGGGAATCTGGGGCGGGGGTCCTGAGAGGCTTTGGAGGGGTCCTGGGGAGGTTTTGGGGCTCCTGAGGGATCTGAAGGCTTCTGGGGGATTTGGGCGTCCTGGAGGGATCTGGGGGTCATGGGGGGCTTTGGGAGGGTCCTGAGGGGCTTTGGGGGTCCTGAGGGGCTTTGGGGGTCCTGGAGGGGCTTTGGGAGGTCTTGAGGGGGCTTCTGGGGGCTTTCGGGGGATCTGAGGGGCTTTGGGGGGGCTTTGGGGGGTCCTGGGGGAATTCTGGGGGGATTTGGGGAGGGTCCTGAGGGGCTTTGGGAGGGCCTGAGGGTCCCTTGAGGGGGTTCTGGGGTCCTGGGGTCTTCTGAAATCCTTCGGTGGGGTTGGGAGGTCCTGGGGTAAATCTGGGGGATCTGTGGGGCTTTGAGGGACCTGGGGGGTCTTGATGGGCTTTGGGGGATCTGGGAGTTTGTGGGGGGATCTGGGGGTCCTGAGGGGGCTTTGAGGGATCCTGGGGGTCTTTGGGGGATTCCCAGGGGTCCCCACTGCTCACTGTGGGACCTGCTGATGGGACAACCCGGGGGCTCCACTGGGAGGAGGAGACTTGGGGGTCCTGGCAGGTGAATTTGGGGGTGGGGGCACCTCAGACCCCCTCACCCTCCTTACCCTCCTCTCCCCCAGGACTCGGGGCTGCGTCTCCACTACGTGACCCGTGGGCCCCCCACGGCCCCCCTGGTGCTGCTGCTGCACGGCTTCCCCCAGAACTGGTGGGTGACACCCTGGGGACACCCTGGGGACACCCTGGGGTCATTGAGGGTCACCTGGTCACTCAGGGGTCACCTCAGAGTCACCCTGGTCACTCAGAGCCCCCCACAGCCCCCCTGGTGCTGCTGCTGCACGGCTGCCCCCAGAACTGGTGGGTGACACCCTGGGGACACCCTGGGGACACCCCGGGGACACCCTGGGGACACCCTGGGGTCATCCTGGGGACACCACAGAGCACCCTGGTCACCATGGGATCACCCTGGGGTCACTGAGGGTCACCCTGGGCCCCCCACGGCCCCCCCGGTGCTGCTGCTGCACGGCTTCCCCCAGAACTGGTGGGTGACACCCTGGGGTCACCCTGGGGACACCCTGGGGTCATTGAGGGTCACCCTGGTCACCCTGGGGTCACCATGGGATCACCCTGGGGTCACTGAGGGTCACCCTGGGGTCACCTGGTCACTCAGAGCCCCCCACGGCCCCCCTGGTGCTGCTGCTGCACGGCTTCCCCCAGAACTGGTGGGTGACAGTCTGGGGACACCCTGGGGACACCCTGGGGACACCCTGGGGTCACCCTGGGGACACCCTGGGGACACCCTGGGGACACCCTGGGGACACCCTGGGGTCACTGAGGGTCACCCTGGGACCCCCACTGCCCCTCTGGTGCTGCTGCTGCACGGCTTCCCCCAGAACTGGTGGGTGACACCCTGGGGACACCCCGGGGACACCCTGGGGACACCCTGGGGTCACCCTGGTCACCCTGGGGTCATCCTGGGGTCACCTGGTCACTCAGAGCCCCCCACGGCCCCCCTGGTGCTGCTGCTGCACGGCTGCCCCCAGAACTGGTGGGTGACACCCTGGGGACACCCTGGGGTCATCCTGGTCACCCTGGGGACACCCTGGGGTCATTGAGGGTCACCCTGGTCACCCTGGGGTCACCTCAGAGTCACCCTGGTCACTCAGAGCCCCCCACGGCCCCCCTGGTGCTGCTGCTGCACGGCTGCCCCCAGAACTGGTGGGTGACACCCTGGGGACACCCTGGGGACACTCAGGGTCACCTTGGGGACATCCTGGTCACTCAGGGGTCACCCTGGTCACTCAGGGGTCACTCAGGGGTCACCCTGGTCACCCTGGGGTCACCCTGGGGACACCCTGGGGACACTCAGGGTCACCTTGGGGTCATTGAGGGTCACCCTGGTCACCCTGGGGTCACCTGGTCACCCTGGGGTCATTGAGGGTCACCTGGTCACTCAGGGCCCCCCACGGCCCCCCTGGTGCTGCTGCTTCACGGCTTCCCCCAGAACTGGTGGGTGACACCCTGGGGACACCCTGGGGACACTCAGGGTCACCCTGGGGACACCCTGGGGTCACCTGGTCACTCAGGGGTCACCCTGGGGTCACCCTGGTCACTCAGGGCCCCCCACGGCCCCCCTGGTGCTGCTGCTGCACGGCTTCCCCCAGAACTGGTGGGTGACACCCTGGGGACACCCTGGGGACACCCTGGGGTCACCCTGGGGTCACTGAGGGTCACCTGGTCACTCAGAGCCCCCCACGGCCCCCTGGTGCTGCTGCTGCACGGCTTCCCCCAGAACTGGTGGGTGACACCCTGGGGACACCCTGGGGTCACCCTGGGGTCACCCTGGGGTCACTGAGGGTCACCTGGTCACTCAGAGCCCCCCACAGCCCCCTGGTGCTGCTGCTGCACGGCTTCCCCCAGAACTGGTGGGTGACACCCTGGGGACACCCTGGGGACATTGAGGGTCACCCTGGGACCCCCACGGCCCCCTTGATGCTGCTGCTGCACGACTGCCCCCAGAACTGGTGGGTGACACCCTGGGGACACCCTGGGGACACTCAGGGTCACTCAGGGTCACCATGGTCACCCTGGTGACCCCGTGGTGACCCCGTGTCCCTGTCCCAGGTTCTGCTGGAGGCACCTGATGCAGGATCTGGGCGGGACCGCGGTGGTGGCCCTGGTGACCCTGGTGACCGTGTGTCCCTGGTGACCCCATAGTGTCCCTGCTGACCCCGTGGTGTCCCTGGTGACCCCACAGTGTCCCTGGTGACCCCGTGTCCCTGTCCCAGGTTCTGCTGGAGGCACCTGATGCGGGATCTGGCCCGGGACCGGCGGGTGGTGGCCCTGGTGACCCCGTGGTGACCCCGTGGTGTCCCTGCTGACCCCATAGTGACCCTGCTGACCCCGTGGTGTCCCTGGTGACTCTGGTGACCCTGTGACATTGTCCCAGGTTCTGCTGGAGGCACCTGATGCGGGATCTGGCCCGGGACCGGCGGGTGGTGGCCCTGGTGACCCCATAGTGACCCTGGTGACCCCGTGGTGTCCCTGGTGACCCCATGGTGACCCTGTGACATTGTCCCAGGTTCTGCTGGAGGCACCTGATGCAGGATCTGGCCCGGGACCGGCGGGTGGTGGCCCTGCTGACCCCATGGTGTCCCTGCTGACCCCGTGGTGTCCCTGCTGACCCTGGTGACCCCGTGGTGTCCCTGCTGACCCCATAGTGACCCTGCTGACCCCATGGTGACCCCGTGTCCCTGTCCCAGGTTCTGCTGGAGGCACCTGATGCAGGATCTGGCCCGGGACCGGCGGGTGGTGGCCCTGCTGACCCCATGGTGTCCCTGCTGACCCCATGGTGACTCTGGTGACCCCATGCCCCTGTCCCAGGTTCTGCTGGCGGCACCTGATGCGGGATCTGGCCCGGGACCGGCGGGTGGTGGCCCTGGTGACCCCATAGTGTCCCTGGTGACCCTGCTGACCCCATAGTGACCCTGCTGACCCTGTGACATTGTCCCAGGTTCTGCTGGAGGCACCTGATGCAGGATCTGGGCGGGGACCGGCGGATGGTGGCCCTGGTGACCCCATGGTGTCCCTGGTGACCCCGTGCTGACCCTGCTGACCCCATGGTGACCCCGTGTCCGTGTCCCAGGTTCTGCTGGAGGCACCTGATGCAGGATCTGGCCCGGGACCGGCGGGTGGTGGCCCTGGACCTGCGTGGCTGCGGCGCCTCGGAGAAGCCCCCGGGCAGGGACAGTTACCGGCTGGAGCTGCTGCTCGGGGACATCTGCGGGGTCATCGAGGCCCTGGGGACGCCCGCGGGGTCCCCGCGCTGTGTCCTGGTGGGCCACGACTGGGGAGGGGTCCTGGCCTGGGAGGTGGCGGCCGCGCGGCCAGCGCTGGTCGAGAAGCTCGTGGTGATGGACGCGCCCCAGAGGGGGACCATGGCCGGTGAGGGGACAATGGGGACACCAGGGACACCAGGGGGACAGGGGGACCATGGCCGGTGAGGGGACAGGGGGACACTGAGGGGACACTGAGGGGACACCAGGGGGACACCGGGGCCATAGCCGGTGAGGGGACAATGGGGACACTGAGGGGACACCGGGGCCATGGCCGGTGAGGGGACACCATGGGGACAGTGGGGACACTGAGGGGACAGGGGGGACACTGAGGGGACAATGGGGACACTGAGGGGACAGTGGGGCCATGGCCAGTGAGGGGACAGGGGGGACACCAGGGGGACACCGGGGCCATGGCCGGTGAGGGGACACCGAGGGGACAGTGGGGACACCGAGGGTACACTGGGGACAATGGGGACACCGAGGGGACAATGGGGACACCAGGGACAATGGGGACACTGGGACAGGGAGGGGACACCAGGGACAATGGGGACACCGAGGGGACAATGGAGACACCGAGGGGACAGTGGGGACACCACGGAGACACTGAGGCTGTGGCCGGTGAGGGAACAATGGGGACACCAGGGGACACTGGGGCCATGGCCGGTGAGGGGACATCGAGGGGACACCAGGGGGACAATGGGGACAGGGAGGGGACACCGGGGACAATGGGGACACCAGGGGGACATCGGGGCCATGGCCAGTGAGGGGACAGGGGGGACACCGAGGGGACACTGGGGCCATGGCCGGTGAGGGGACAAGGAGGGGACACTGGGGCCATGGCCGGTGAGGGGACAACAGGGACACTGAGGACAGGGAGGGGACAATGGGGACACTGAGGGGACACCAGGACAGGAGAGGGACACTGGGGACACCAGGGGACACTGGGGCTATGGCCAGTGAGGGGACACCGGGGACAATGGGGACACCAGGGGGACACCGAGGCCGTGGCCAGTGAGGAGACAAGGAGGGGACACTGGGGCCATGGCCAGTGAGGGGACAATGGGGACACCAGGGGACACCAGGGACAATGGGGACAATGGGGGGACACTGGGGCCATGGCCGGTGAGGGGACAATGGGGACACCAGGGGACACCAGGGGGACAGTGGGGACACCGAGGGGACAGTGGGGACAATGGGGACAGGGAGGGGACACCGGGGACAGTGGGGACACTGGGGACAATGGGGACACCCTGGGGACAGGGAGGGGACACCGGGGCCATGGCCAGTGAGGGGACAGGGGGGACACCAAGGGGACAATGGGGACACCATGGGGACAGTGGGGCCATGGCCAGTGAGGGGACAATGGGGACACTGAGGGGACACTGGGGACACTGAGGGGACAGGGGGGCCATGGCCAGTGAGGGGACACCGAGGGGACAGTGGGGACAATGGGGACACCAGGAACAATGGGGACAATAGGGGCACTGAGGGGACAATGGGGACAATGGGGACACTGGGGGGACACTGGGGCCATGGCCGGTGAGGGGACAGGGGGGACACTGAGGGGACACCAGGGACAATGGGGACATCAGGGGACACCGGGGCCATGGCCGGTGAGGGGACAGGGGGGACACCAGGGACAATGGGGACACTGAAGGGACACCAGGGTCATGGTTGGTGAGGGGACAGGGGGGACACCGAGGGGACAGTGAGGACACTGGGACAGGGAGGGGACACCGGGGACAATGGGGACACCACAGGGACACTGAGGGGACACCAGGACAGGAGAGGGGACACTGGGGACACCAGGGGACACTGGGGCCATGGCTGGTGAGGGGACACCGAGGGGACAGGGGGGACACCAAGGACAATGGGGACAGTGGGGACACTGAGGGGACAGTGGGGACACCGAGGGGACAGGGGGGACACTGAGGGGACAATGGGGACACCATGGGGACACCGGGGCCATGGCCGGTGAGGGGACAGGGGGGACACTGAGGGGACAGGGGGGACACCAAGGGGACAGGGGGACCATGGCTGGTGAGGGGACAATGGGGACACCAAGGGGACAGGGGGGACACCGAGGGGACAGGGGGGACACCAGGGGACACCAGGGGGACACCGGGGCCATGGCCGGTGAGGGGACAGGGGGGACACCAGGGGGACAATGGGGCCATGGCCGGTGAGGGGACACCGAGGGGACACCAAGGGGACACTGAGGGGACAGTGGGGACAGTGGGGACACCGAGGGGAGAGGGGGGACACCATGGGGACAGTGGGGCCATGGCCAGTGAGGGGACACCGGGGACACTGAGGGGACACCAGGGGCACCAGGGGGACAATGGGGCCATGGCCGGTGAGGGACAGCGGGGACACTGAGGGGACAGGGGGACACCAGGGGCCAGAGGGGACCATGGCTGGTGAGGGGACAATGGGGACACCAAGGGGACAGTGGGGACACCAAGGGGACAGGGGGACACTGAGGGGACAGGGGGGACACCAAGGGGACAGGGGGGACACCAAGGGGACAGTGGGGACACTGAGGGGACACTGGGGCCATGGCCGGTGAGGGGACACCGAGGGGACAGGGGGGACACTGAGGGGACAATGGGGACACCAGGGGGACAGGGGGGACACCGAGGGGACAGGGGGGACACCAGGGGGACAATGGGGCCATGGCCGGTGAGGGGACAGGGGGGACACCGAGGGGACAGGGGGGACACCGAGGGACAGTGGGGACAATGGGGACACCAGGGACAATGGGGACGATGGGGACACCATGGGGACAGTGGGGACACCGGGGACAATGGGGACACCACGGGGACACTGAGGGGACGCCAGGGCCGTGGCCGGTGAGGGGACAGGGGGGACACTGAGGGGACAGTGGGGACACCATGGGGACACTGGGGCTGTGGCTGGTGAGGGGACAATGGGGACACCAGGGGGACAATGAGGACACCAGGGCCATGACCGGTGAGGGGACAACGGGGACAATGGGGACACCAGGGACAGGGAGGGGACAATGGGGACACTGAGGGGACACTGGGGACACCAGGGGACACTGGGGCCATGGCCAGTGAGGGGACAACGGGGACAATGGGGACACCGGGGCTGTGGACGGTGAGGGGACAGGGAGGGGACACTGAGGGGACAATGGGGACACCGGGACAGGGAGAGGACACTGGGACAGGGGAGGGGACACCGGAGCTGTAGCCAGTGAGGGGACAATGGGGACACCAGGGGGACACCGGGGCCGTGGCCAGTGAGGGACAGGGAGGGGACATTGAGGGGACAATGGGGACACCAGGGCCGTGGCCAGTGAGGGGACACTGGGGACACTGAGGGGACACTGGGGACACTGGGACAGGGAGGGGACACCGGGGCCATGGCCGGTGAGGGGACACCGGGGACACTGAGGGGACACTGGGGCCATGGCCAGTGAGGGACACGGGGGACACCGGGGCACGGGGAGGACACCGGGATGGGGGGGACACCACGGGGCACAGGGGTCATGGTGGGAGGTGACACCGCGGTGACATCGCCGAGGGGAGGGGACGTCGTGGGGCAGGTGATGGCCCTGCCGGGGCGGGGGGGCTGTGACAGCTACGTGGGGGAGTGCCGATTTCATGGCATTGTCACTGGTGCCACCTCTGGTGGCATTGTCATTGGTGCCATCTATCATGGCATTGTCATTGGTGCCATCTGTCATGGCATTGTCACTGGTGCCACCTCTGATAGCACTGTCATTGGTGTCACCTCTGATGGCATTGTCACTGGTGCCATCTCCCATGCCATTGTCACTGAGTGCCACCTCCCATGGCACTGTCATTGGTGTCATGGCACTGTCACTGGGTGCCAATGTCATGGCACTGTCACTGGTGCCACCTCTGGTGGCACTGTCATTGGTGTCATCTGTCATGGCGTTGTCACTGGTGCCAATGTCATGGCACTGTCACTGGGTGCCACCTCTGATGGCATTGTCACTGGTGTCATGGCACTGTCACTGGTGCCATCACTCATGGCATTGTCACTGGGTGTCATCTGTCATAGCACTGTCACTGGTGCCACCTCTGATGGCATTGTCATTGGGTACCAGTGTCACAGAATTGTCACTGGTGCCATGACAGATGGCATTGTCATTGGTGTCATGGCACTGTCACTGGTGCCACCTCTGATGGCACTGTCACTGGTGCCATCTGTCATGGCACTGTCACTGGTGCCATCTGTCATGGTGTTTTCATTGGTGTCACCTCTGATGGCACTGTCACTGGTGTCATGGCATTGTCACTGGTGCCACCTCTGATGGCATTGTCACTGGGTGCCAATGTCATGGCACTGTCACTGGTGCCACCTCTCATGGCACTGTCATTGGTGTCATGGCACTGTCACTGGTGCCACCTCTGATGGCATTGTCATTGGTGTCATGGCACTGTCACTGGTGCCACCTCCCATGGCACTGTCATTGGGTGCCAATGTCATGGCACTGTCACTGGTGCCATCTGTCATGGCATTGTCACTGGTGCCACCTCTGATGGCACTGTCACTGGTGCCATCTGTCATAGCATTGTCATTGGTGCCACCTCTGATGGCACTGTCAATGGTGCCATCTGTCATGGCACTGTCACTGGTGCCATCTGTCATGGCACTGTCACTGGTGCCATCTCCCATGGCGTTGTCACTGGTGCCATGGCACTGTCACTGGTGCCACCTCTGATGGCACTGTCATTAGTGATGACACCATTGACACTGATGACACTGTCACTGGTGCCATCTCCCATGGCACTGTCACTGGTGCCAATGTCATGGCACTGTCACTGGTACCATCTCCCATGGCACTGTCACTGGTGCCACCTCCCCTGTCGTTGTCCCCGGCTGTCCCTGTCATTGTCCCCGTGCAGATTTCATGGCCCGGCACCCGTCCCAGCTGCTCCGCTCCAGCTACATCTTCCTGTTCCAGCTGCCCCTGCTGCCCGAGCTGCTGCTGGCTCTCAATGACTTCCAGGTGACAGTGACACCCTGCCCTGTCCCCTCTGCCACCCACCCTGTCCCCTCTCTGCCACCCCTGTCCCCCCCTGTTCCAGCTGCCCCTGCTGCCCGAGCTGCTGCTGGCTCTGAATGACTTCCAGGTGACACCCCTGTCCCCCCTGTGTCACCCCTGTCACCCCCCTGTCACCTCCTGTCACCCCCCATGTCCACCCTGCCCCTGCTGCCCGAGCTGCTGCTGGCCCTCAATGACTTCCAGGTGACACCCCTGTCCCCCTGTGTCACCCCTGTCCCCCCTGTCACCCCTGTCCCCCTGTCACCTCCCCTGTCACCCCCCCCTGTTCCAGCTGCCCCTGCTGCCCGAGCTGCTGCTGACCCTGGGTGACTTCCAGGTGACACCCCTGTCCCCCTGTGTCCCCCCTGTCACCCTCTGTCCCTTCTGTCCCCCCCTGTTCCAGCTGCCTGAGCTGCTGCTGGCCCTCAATGACTTCCAGGTGACAGTGACACCCCGCCCTGTCCCCCCTGTTCCCCGTCACCCCTGTCACCCCTATCACCCCTGTTCCAGCTACCCGAGCTGCTGTTGGCTCTCAATGACTTCCAGGTGACACCCCTGTCCCCCCTGTGTCACCCCTGTCATCTCCCTGTCACCCCCCTGTTCCAGCTGGCCCTCAATGACTTCCAGGTGACATGCCCTGTCCCCACCCTGTCACCCTCCTGTCACCTCCCTGTCACCCCCCCTTCCAGCTGCCCCTGCTGCCTGAGCTGCTGCTGGCCCTGAATGACTTCCAGGTGACAGTGACACCCTGCTCTGTCCCCCCTGTCACCTCCCCTGTCACCCTGTGTCCCCCCCCTGTCACCTCCCCTGTCACCCCTGTCACCCCCTGTTCCAGCTGCCCCTGCTGCCCGAGCTGCTGCTGACCCTCAATGACTTCCAGGTGACACCTCTGTCCCCCCCCGTCACCCTCTGTCCCTTCTGTCCCCCCCTGTTCCAGCTGCCCCAGCTGCTACTGGCCCTGAATGACTTCCAGGTGACACCCCTGTCCCCCTGTGTCACACCCCTGTCACCCCCCTGTCACCCCTATCCCCCCTGTTCCAGCTGCCCCAACTGCCTGAGCTGCTGCTGGCTCTGAATGACTTCCAGGTGACAGTGACACCCTGCCCTGTCCCCCCTGTCCCTGCCCTGTCCCTCCTGTCACCTCCCTGTCACCCCTATCCCCACCCTGTCCCCCCTGTTCCTGCTGCCCGAGCTGCTGCTGGCTCTGAATGACTTCCAGGTGACACCCCTGTCCCCCTGTGTCACCCTCTGTCCCCACCCTGTCCCCCTGTCCCCCCTGTCACCTCTGTCCCCCCTGTTCCAGCTGCCCCTGCTGCCCGAGCTGCTGCTGACTCTGAATGACTTCCAGGTGACAGTGACACCCTGCCCTGTCCCCCCTGTCCCTGCCCCTGTCCCTGCAGTGTCCCCCCTATGTCTGTGGTGTGACCCCCTGGTGTCCCCACAGTGTTTGTGCCCATTGTCCCCCCCCATCTGTGTGACCCCCTGATGGGGGGGGACCTGCTGTCCGCTCTCCATTGTCCCCTCCGTGTCTGTGTGACCCCCTGGTGTCCCCCCCATGTGTGTGACCCCTGATGGGGGGGAGTTCGTGTCCCCCCCAATCTATGTGACCCCGTGGTGGGGGGCTCTCGTACCCCCTGGTGTCCCCCCCATCTCTGTGACCCCTGATGGGGGTCTCTCGTGTCCCCCCCATGTGTGTGACCCCTGATGGGGGTCTCTGGTGTCCCCCCCATCTCTGTGACCCCTGGTGGGGGTCTCTCATGTCCCCCCCATCTGTGTGACCCCGTTATGGGGGTCTCTCATGTCCCCCCCATCTGTGTGACCCCGTGGGGGGGGTCTCTCGTGTCCCCCCTCCCCCCAGCTGGTTCGTTGGTTCCTGACCGGGCCCTGCACGGGCGTTCGGGGGGCGGCGCTGACGGAGCCCGAGATCGAGGCCTACCTGTTCAACCTGGCCCAGCCTGGGCCTCAGCCCCCCTGCACTTCTACAGGAACCTCTTCAGGTGGGGGACATGGGGGGACAGGGACATGGGGGTCACCTGTTCAGCCTGGCCCAGCCTGGGGGCTCAGCCCCCTGCACTTCTACAGGAACCTCTTCAGGTGGGGGACAGGGGGGACATGGGGTGACCCTGGGGACAGGGACATGGGGGACCGGGATGGGACATGGGGTGACCAACCTGTTCAGCCTGGCCCAGCCTGGGGCTCAGCCCCCTGCACTTCTACAGGAACCCTTCAGGTGGGGGGACAGGGGGACACAGGGACATGGGGGTCACCTGTTCAACCTGGCCCAGCCTGGGGGGCTCAGCCCCCCCCTGCACTTCTACAGGAACCTCTTCAGGTGGGGGGGACAGGGGGACACAGGGACATGGGGGTCACCTGTTCAGCCTGGCCCAGCCTGGGGCTCAGCCCCCTGCACTTCTACAGGAACCTCTTCAGGTGGGGGACATGGGGGACAGGGGACACGGGGGACAGGGACATGAGGGGTGACCAACCTGTTCAGCCTGGCCCAGCCTGGGAGCTCAGCCCCCTGCACTTCTACAGGAACCTCTTCAGGTGGGGGGACAGGGGGACACAGGGGGTGACCCTGGGGACAGGGACATGGGGTGACCAACCTGTTCAGCCTGGCCCAGCCCGGGCTCAGCCCCCTGCACTTCTACAGGAACCTCTTCAGGTGGGGGACAGGGGGGCACACAGGGACATGGGGGTCACCTGTTCAGCCTGGCCCAGCCTGGGGGCTCAGCCCCCTCCACTTCTACAGGAACCTCTTCAGTGTGGGGGACAGGGACATGGGGACGGGGGGACACAGGGTGGTCTTTGGGGGTCACCTGTTCAACCTGGCCCAGCCTGGGGGCCAGCCCCTGCACTTCTACAGGAACCTCTTGCAGGTGGGGGACAGGGGACACCCTGGGTGACCCTGGGGACAGGGGGACAGGGGGACATGGGGGTGACCAATCTGTGTCAGCCTGGCCCAGCCTGGGGGCTCAGCCCCCTGCACTTCTACAGGAACCTCTTCAGGATGGGGGTGACAGGGGGGACATGGGGTGACCCTGGGGACAGGGACATGGGGGGTGACCAACCTGTTCCACCTGGCCCAGCCCGGGTGCTCAGCCCCCCTCCACTTCTACAGGAACCTCTTCAGGTGGGGAGGACACGTGGGGGACACCCCTGGGGTGGTCTTGGGGGGGTGGAGGGTGGGGGGCTCCCAGGAGAGGTTACTGGGGTTGGTGGGACCTCAACAGGGGGTGATCCCAATGGGGGGAGTTTGGGGTTGGGGGGGTCTCAGCTGGGGGGTCCCAGTAGGGGTGACCCCAGTTGGGTGCTCTTGGGTTGGGTGGTCCCAGTTGGGGTGGTCCCAGTTTGGGTGGTCCCAGTTGGGTGCTCTTGGGTTGGGTGGTCCCAGTTGGGTGGTCCCAGTTGGGTGGTCCCAGTTGGGGGGTCACAGTTGGGTGGTCCCAGTTGGGTGCTCTTGGGTTGGGTGGTCCCAGTTGGGTGGTCCCAGTTTGGGTGGTCCTGAGTTGGAGTGGTCCCAGTTGGGGTCCTGCTTGGGGTCCCAGCTGGGTGGTCCCAGTTGGGTGGTCCCAGTTCAATTATCCCAGTTGGGTGGTCCCAGTTGGGTGCTCTTGAGTTGGGTGGTCCTGGCTGATCCCAGTTGGGGGGTCCCGGTTGGGTGGTCCCAGTTGGGGGTCCCAGTTGGGGTGGTCCCAGTTGGGTGCTCCTGGGTTGGGTGGTCCCAGTTGGGGGGGTCCCAGTTGAGTGCTCTTGAGTTGGGTGGTCCCAGTTGGGGTGGTCCCAGTTGGGGGGCCCCAGTTGGGTGGTCCCAGTTTGGGTGCTCCTGGTTGGGTGGTCCCAATTGGATGGTCCCAGTTGGGTGGTCCCAGTTGGGTGCTCCCAGTTGGGTGGTCCCAGTTGGATGGTCCCAATTGGGATGGTCCCAGTTGGGTGGTCCCAGTTAGGGGGGGATCCCAGTTGGGTGCTCTTGGGTGGTGGTCCCAACTGGGATAGTCCCAGTTCGATGATCCCAGCTGGGATGGTCCCAGCTTGGTGCTCCCAGCTGAGTGTTCCCAGCTGGGGATCTCCATTTTTGAGGTGCTCTCACCTTGAGGTGCCCCCACTCTCTGGGAGCCCCCTTGACCCTCTCTCTTTCCCCAGGGACACTCCCACCTTGGGGAGCCCCTGACCCCTGACCCCTCTCTTTCCCCAGGGACACCCTCTGCCCCCACGGAGCCCCCTTGACTCTCTTTGTCCTCCCAGGACACTCCACCTTTGGG